TGCTTGTATTGAGGCTATTTGATCTGTTTCATACAGGGTATATATACCACATTTATCTGAGGACTGCTGTTTGCTGTATGTTTTTTTATGCTAATAAAGGTTATGTTAGGTTAGGTTAGGTTAGATTATGAGGTTAGGTTAGGTTAGGTTATGAGCCACCATCTTGTTGATACATCAGAGTGAGAAAGATGGAATTTCTTTACTTCACACTCCAATCTTTTGCATGCATAATCTTGCAGAGCTGGAAATAGCAAATGCTACAAGAATTTCATGGTGAACTCACATTTAGAGCTACAAATGTTTTAGTTGTACAGGCACTTTACAATTATTTTATAATGTAAATTAAAACAGCAGATGAAGGAGTAAGAACAGCAAAAAGAGAGGAAGATGGAGAATCTTCAGGTTTATGAGGTGAGGCCCAATGATATCTGAAGGCATGTTTCCCAGTCTCAACATTCTGGATATGTACATTCAAAAATATGAGCCTGCATGCAGGTACTGTATAAATAGGACCCAAGATACTATTTTTGGTTTGGGTGATGAAGTGGAAGCTTTTCTGTGCTACTTCTTCATGAATAATTTGCTACCTGTGATGTAGTCATGTTGAAAGAACTCCCATTGAGTGACTGAAAGCAGATACTATTATCCAACTTTTGCTGAAGAGCAAGTCTTTTTTTTAAAATGTTCAAAAGATGCCTAGCTAAGGAGAACTCAAGAGGACCAAGGCCAGTCTGAAATAATTGCCACCAGAGATTCTCTCTCTCACCTAAAGTTTCTGGCCTGGTCATTTCATTCTTTGCTTCTAGCAGATACAGGAAGGAAATTGAGAAGACTTACTGCCAGTTTTTATGGGAAGGAAATTGAGAAGACTTACTGCCAGGTTTTATGATGAAGTGTGGGAGTGTGGAGTGTCTTATTTCACTTCTGAGCAATAAAGTCTAATTGGTGACACCTCCCCCCTTTCTGGTTTATAGAAAGTAGGCTTTTTAAAAAAAAGAAATGTAGAAATGGCCATACATTAATAATGAAGTACTCTCCTTTGTCTCTGAAGTCTAGGGCCGTTCTCCCACTCCTTCTTAGACTGGATCACCAGCCCATTCCCATTTCTCTCATATAGTGGGTATTTGGGACAGGCGTTCTCTCCCTTTCTAGGTTTTTTTTAATGAGATCTGCAAAGCACATGTTTCTGTGTCACACTGCTGGTGTTTATATGAGGAATGACTGAATGCACAGAAACTAGACTCCAAACAAAACACTTTCTGATATGCCTGAGTTATGGAGAGCAAACTGTTCAGCCAAACCCACAGTACATAAAATCTGTAATTATTTCCTATGACTGTTAGCCTCCCACAGGGTTGTTGAATGTGTTTGGTGGTTATGTGCCCTCAAGTCAGAACTGACTTCGTGATCCTAATAGGGTTTTCAAGGCAAGTGAGGTATTTAAGGAGTGATTTTACCAGTTCCACACACACACACACAGCTTTAAGAGTTTCCATGGGAGAGCTGAGGAATTGAACTCACATCTCCTAAGTCCTAGTCTATTACTCTATCCTCTATAGCAGTTGTCCCCAACCTTTTTGACACTAGGGACCAGTTTAGATGAAGACCATTCTCCCAACAACCCACTCGACACCCACAGGCTCTCCCCTCTCGCTCTCCCAGCTGCTGAGAGGGAGATGAGATAGAGATAATCAGAAAACAGCTACAGTACTAGGTAATAATGATCAGAAATACAGATTAGCTTTATGGATACGAAATGGGGTGCAACTTTATTTACAATGTAAAGTGCATCACACAGAAGTTGGTAAAACACATGACAGGCACTGCCATAAATGACAATACATTATTTGGATTTTAAACAATTAAAAAGTAATGATAATTCTTCTGAGGATTTAATACTGCAAACCGTAATCTCATTTTACCATCCAGCCCTTTTCCTCTAGGCATCACACACTTCCTGCTTTCTGTGTCACTTCTGAATCTTGTTTGTTCATTCGTGTTGACTGGAAAGTACATGAACTGTTAGTACTTTATTTAAAAATTTGCAATTTTGACTATCCCTCTCCAGCAATTTTGACTATCCCTCTCCAGTGTTCCACCAGTTCTACCATCTCCCAGAATAAAACGGTTCTGACAGTAAATGGAACCTTCTCATCATAGAATAAGATCCAGGACATCATAAGGGTAAGAAAATTTCACGGAGTACACGAACACAGTGTGGAATGTGGGAATTCTACATGACTTAGTTAGGTTTTAATTTTCTATCTTTCCAAATCTATTAAAGTCTTTGAAGACCAAAACTCTATACACATTTGGAAACAAGCCTCCCTTGAACTCAGTGGGACTTTTGTCATTAAAGATGAATAAGATTACTCTGCATATACATACTATATGCATATGTATCTGCTGTGGCATGTTATAGAACTGTAAACCCTCTTAAAGACTTTTGCGAAGAAAATAATCTAAAATGTTAGTGATGCATTTTCTTCCACATCTCAGTTTCTATGTGCATTATATTATGGAGGCTGTTGACTGCTGTTGTAATAGCAAAAGCAGACAGCTTGAAGAGGAGGGAACAAATCTACAAGAACCAAATGACAGAGTACCTGGGACACTTTATATAATTAGGTTTGCTTATTAGATATCCTAATTACAATTAATAAATCACTGTCCTTCACATGGGGGATGTCTCACAATTATTTTGCTTTCTCCTTAAATACAGAAAATAGCCACTTCACATATCTTTTTGATTCTAAAAATTTCCAGGTAAAGGAAATTTTTATCCTGTTTCTTCTAAAGACATATATATTGGCAACATATGGCATGCTGGTGGGCAGGAAGGAACTGGTTGTGCACATCAGAACAATAAATAAATTAACAGTGTGATTTTATGAGTTACTGTGATTTGTTTCCCTTTTGCAATGAAATTTGCTGGCAACTATTATACACTAGGTGCTTCCAAACAAGTTAGTACTCCTCCACAGTCAATGAGAAGTGGGCATGTAACTGTGGTTCTTCAGACTGAGCTATTACGCTGCTTTTTCTGTTCTATGAATATTCTGCAATATTCTGCCAATATCCAGCAACTTTCTGTAATGCCCACATTACATACATGTAAGGGAGTGGTGGCACAAGTAAATCAAATACATTAATTTTCTCACCAACTCCAACTACTGTTAGAGATGTGTGCCAAAGTCCAGTTGGGCCTGCAGCTCCAGCACAATTAAAAAAGAATCTACAAGGCAAGTTCACGATATAAAAACTGAACATTGATTCTACACAGCTGTACTACAAATCTCCTGAAACCTTGCAATGTATGCAGCCATCATTTTCTTCCTTGCTGCATTAGAACTGAAACAGGCCCCTGTCCTGGTTGCCCATCACTGTAAAAGTCTGCTGCTTATAGATCCTTTCATACATTCATAACAACAGGAGTTGCACCATTGTGCCCCCTGTCCTGGTTGCCCATCACTGTAAAAATCTGCTGCTTATAGATCCTTTCACACATTCATAACAACAGGATTGTGATGCACTGAGTCTTAATAGCAAATACTAGAGGCAAGAGTTGTTTTGTTTTGTAAAAATTAAATCATGGAGGTAAAGCAACATGAAGGAAAAAGTACAGAAAAACACAGTGTCAACATGCCTTTGTGTGGGTCACAGAATATTGCACTGAGACTAATATGTCAGCCTACATATCCATCATGCTTCAATCAGCTTTTTTCTTAAAAAAGCTTTGCATCAAATAAGAGGGGGAGGAGGAAGGCTGTCAAAAAAGCACTGGGATAGTTTGGGTTGTGCAGAATGTTTCAGCCAAGTTAAAGGTGCCAATGCCTGTTATGGAATCACTCATTGCTAACAGTAAAGTTGGAAAATAGTAGGTGAAGTAAGCTCATGAGCAGAATGCATCGGGTTTTTTTCTTTTTAGCTCAGGAAACAAACAACATCCTTTTCATTTTGTTCCTGCCCACTTGTAAATGTTAGTAGTGTTCAAATCATGGTGGATGAGATCTCGGGTAATGATTATTACATACAAAGTTTTAATGTTTTGGATCATCAGGATAGAAATTAGCTAGTTTGACCCGGGACATAATAATAAATGCCTTTCCACAAATTACCGGTAATACAATATGCTTAGCAGCAGTGCTTGAAGGGAAAAAAAGTGTAATAGTATACATTTATACTATGATTTTCTAATACATTTTTTTTTTGCTCCAGGATGACAAACTACTATGGTAGCTACCATCTTCAAGTGAAAATGAGAGGATGACTAGCTCAGTAATGCATTATAACCAAGAAATACTACTAATAGGCAAATAAGGAGTTTAATCCCACTTGTTCTACTTATTTCATTTTTAACTAAATGGCAGTAACCACAAGATCAGGCAAACATATGCTAAAGCCATATGTATATGCTTTCAAAATATTTGGACAATAAATCTACAGTAAAATAACAATGTGTATCATCCTAGTAAAACAGATGTGAATATTTTTTTTTAAAAAATAAACACCATATGTATTTTAGAAAGACACTTTGTTCCCAGACACGCCCAGCCCTCTCTAGTCATGCAGCAGCTCCCCTACCATCAATCTACTGTATTTCCCTCCACAGGTAACCCTTCCGTGCATGTGTACACCTGATGGCAGGCACCCAAAATAGTCACTAGGCCTCTGCTGATTGTTATGAGCATCCAATCTGAAAGAACTGCCTAAATCAAGAGTGAGTTGGACAGAAGCTTTCCAAGCTGCATGGAAAATGAGGAAACGCGGTGTGAGCTCTAGGTGGCCTGTTATGTCATTGGGGAGCACTGTTCATTTCTTTTTGAAAAGGGCAGGGGGAGAATCCAAATAAGCATCTGCAAGCCTTTCACCATGTCCAAAGCAGATCTTTCAATCCTAGCCAATTTGCTTAACACGTCTATTAGGCCAGTAGTTCTCAACCTTAGGTAACCCAGGTGTTCTTGGACTGCAGCTCCCAGAAGCCTTTTCACCATCTGCTGTGCTGGCCAGGGTTTCTGGGAGTTGTAGTCCAAGAACACCTGGGTAACCCAAGGCTGAGAACCACAGTATTAGACTACAGTAACTATTGTATCCTCCACAACTAAGGAAGTACAGTGAAGGTAGAAGGTAATTCAAGACAAAACCAGATCTGACAGAGCCATCATTACATGCCACTCACATAGAAAATCTGTGTAAGGAGGCTCATAGTGTAACCATCAAAGAGCACATACATGGTAGAGAGGTACCAAACCCTGTACTCTCTGGGGTCTTGCTTGCTCTCTCCTCTCTCTCTCATCAGGGAGCAGACTCTCTTCTTCCTTTCTGTTCTGATTCCAGTATCACAACCAGGAACTGAGCAAAGGGATGGCAATCAGTCATTGTAGGAAAGTAATGCAGAGGAGGAGGGATTCAGCACCACCGTCTCCTGTGCTCTTTCCACCTGTTTCCTATATGAATGAGGACAGATTTCTATCCATTTCCTGTATGAATGAGGATACGTAGATGAAAAAAAAAAACATGCATGTATTGCCATCCAATCATGTTTGGTCCTAAAACTCCAGCATCTTGTTCGGTAGGCAGTGGAGCCAAGCTGTTCTCAGGGCTTTTGAAACAGCAATTTTAAAAAAGATTGCAAGTTGTTCTCTTTCAATGCTTGACATTATTCGTACCTTTGTGTGTACTGACAGCAGCAAACTCAGCGTAAATGATATACTTCTGCATGTGGAAAATGATTTAAAAGTGATTCATTTCACAATAAAAATATAAGAAAATATAATACAAAATAATAATAAAAAAGATTTTAAAAACATCAAACACATAGTTTAACCCTCCCCCCCTCCCAATCTGATTTTACAGTGCCTGCAGTATCAAGGCCCACTGGATTAGAATCAGAATGTTCATAGTAGTGGCTCTGACGTTAAAAGTGGTGGAATCCAGTTTTCCTTTTCCTAGATAAACACACAGAGAGACAAAAGAGATACAGATCATTCAATAGGAGAACAAAGCAAAGCGTACCAAATCATGAGGATACCTACCCTGGTCTACATGCTCTTAGATGACAATGTATGTGCACCTACTGACACCTATGTCAAAAATCTTACATTAAAATAAGTGCTATGTGTCCAGCATATGGCCAGTATGAGATTTTTTTTTCAATAGCAGGGATGATACATTTAAGGTGAATGTGTGGGTCGCAAAGAGGTAAATTCAGTTTCATTGTCTTTTTCAAATAACTGATGTCACTGGTGACATTCTGCGTAGGAAGCTGAAGAAGCAGCAGTATGCTGTAGCAGGCACATATAAATTGGATTGGGCTTTGCATGTGCCTTGATTCACAATTATCTCTCACACAAGTGGGTCCACTGATAGGACTTGAGAGAAACATGCTGCATTACAATGGTTTGTGCTGCAGGGTCAGACTTGATTGACTTCATGGGTAAGTGAAGCCCAGTCCATAGCTGACTGGCATCACAGTGCAACTAGGCAAGTCTCCTAGCTGAGGAGACAAGGCAGTTTTGTTGTTCTCTACTAACCTACTAAGGCCCTCATTTGGGAATCTTGGAAGCTGAGCAGAAAGTTCAAGAGTTAGTCATTGTTTTTCATTAATTTTTAAAGAAGGGTTTGCATTTTCAATTGAGCACAGAATTTATTTGAATAGAAATTTTAAAAGGAAGTCTTCACATTGAAGACAGCTACTAGAAAGTTCACAAAACAAACAGATGTCTACTAGCTGTCTTGCCCAGACCTACTCAGAAACACAAGGAGCTGCCTTTTACCAGCCCATCTAGCCACCACTGCCAACTTTGACTGGCAGTAGCTCTCTGGCGCATCAGGCTGGATTCTCCCCTAGCTTGGAGATTTCATGGTATTACCTGGTGATATTCCATCTAAGTACTAATCAGACCAATCCTGCTTAGTTTCAGAAAGCACATAAGACCAGGATGTTCCGGGTGGCATGGTAGTACAGATCCTAGTGATGCCTAGGTCATGTTGTCCATTGTGAAGAATACAGTGTCTATAATTTAGGCAACACCTTTCTCTCTCAGACCAAATCTCTGCAATGAGAAACTGTCTAGTTACCTAGAACAGTCATGTCCAGTCCATGGTGAAGTACAATGGCACCGATTTGGCCGTATACATTTGCCACCATTTAAGCATGGAGACTGACAGACAGCTATATTGAAAAAACACAAATGCATTAATTAACATTCATTTAAATTATGGCATCACAGTTATTCAAATTGTACCCTCTGAATATTTTACATCTATGGATGAATTTTCTCCTGCAGCAAGTAAAAAAGTTTATTTAATAATTGCTTGGAAGTTCAGTTCACTTTGTTTTATTTAAAGCACATGTTTCTAGTTCTCAGAGTGGATACAATATTATTTTAAATGCAAAGGAACACATGATCTGAAATAAGTGAGGCTCTGGGCAGAACTTCCTGTGAGTAACTGTATGGATTCTTTCACACACACCCCAAAACCCTACCTTCCTGTTCTTGCTCCTTCCATCTCATCCACTTACGCCACTTACTAAATTAAACAAAAAGAAAAGTGAATTTGTCATGGCCAGCAGACTGACAACTGCGACAAAAGGTGGGGAAAGGCAGTAATAATAACAGATTACTTTGCTGATTGACCATCGTAAGGAAGATAGGGTACAGTCAGTTGATACGCCCATTACAAATTCGAATTAAACCATAACCCAACATTGGACATCAAATCTAAAATTTAAAAAGCAACCTCACATTCATTCTAATATAACTGGAACATAGGAATCCAGGGGGCAGTGAGTAAAAAGAAAAGGATTCTAAATGATTAAATAAGTATTGTGACGCTTAGAGGTTAATGAATTTATAAGTAAAAGGTACAGTCATAAAATAGTTCCAAGTAATTATAAGTAAAAACATATATATAAACTGCCATTAATCAAGGCATAAAATTAATTATAAATACTAGTTTGTGATGCTAGTCATTGCCCGGCAAATTTTAATCGCAGCTGCATAGAACCTAGCAACATTATATGTTGTATCAAAATTAGTATCTGACAGCAGCAAGGTGGTACAAAATTGACCTGAGTATCCTGGATATTTATGGACTATTGGTAACTACCCAGAGGTCTCTGAGCGGCTTACAACTAATGAGATTAGTTCGAATATCTCTATAAAACAAACACTGAAGGAGCACGTGCTCTGTTGATTCTATGTGGCCAGAGTCACAAGGGCACTTTCTCTCCAAGTAGGGGATCCTCCAATATTGGCCCTCAAGAACAGATGAGGGGCAGAGCATGACATCGTGCCAGAGTATAAAGGCCCTCTGATGGTTTAGTATTTCCAATTTGGATAGATATATCATAGGGGAAGCAAAATATCTGCTGGATTCATTAATAATAAAAGTTGGAGATCTGGCTAAATCCAATTGTCGCTCTACGTCTATTACCCACTGTTTAATAAGCACTTGGCCTTGGCCGTATCCCAAACTGAGTAGAAACCTGGTTAAAAATAAAAAACCCAAGGATGAAAAGTGGCATTAGAGACACATTTTGGGACTTGTAGGGCTGATCTTATCGATTTGGATTGCACAAGCTCTAGTGGTGCAAAATTAGAAAAGGGGCCTAACTGGGCTCCATACAGAAGTTGGGCTATTGACTTGGCTTCAAATAGTTTAAGCGCTGCAAGTATATAATGATCACCTCTTGACTTGAGGTATTTAAAAATAACCAACCAGCTTCTTTGTGCCACATCAGCAGCATAGTCCCTATGGGCTTTTTTTAAAAATACAGGTAGAATGGAGGACTACTCCCAGATATTTGAAAGAGGAAACCTGATCAATTTTATGGCCATCTATATTCCAGGAGTAATTTTTAGGTCTTTTGGAAAATGCCATGATTTTAGTTTTCTGATAGTTAAGTTGTAGTTGTTCCTCCTTGCAGTATTGCGTTAACACCTTCAATGTTCTTTAAGGCCAATAGGTGTTCTTGAGAGTACTGCTGCATCATCTGCATAAAGTAAAACAGAGATGTGCCTTCCAACCAATTTTGTGTGTGTGTGTGTGTGTGTGTGTGTGTGTGTGAAAGTTCACATTAGTTCACATAAAAATTGAATAAAAGTGGGCCCAATATACAACCCTGCTCAACACCTTTCTCCGTACCAACGGAATTGGTGAGGTGGCCCTGGGGGTTACATCTTATTTTGAGTGAGGTTCCTTCATGAAGCACGTGTATTAAGTAGAGTCACCGTCGTTCTATTGAGGAGGCCTCCAATTTATCCCACAGCTTGATTCTTGATATGGAATCAAAGGCTTCTTTGAAATATATGAAAGCAGCATAAAGGGAAGAGATGTTATGAGAAGAATGTTGTTCAATAAGATGCTGAAATACTAGGCACTGATCTATATTAGACCTGCCTTTCCTAAAACCGGCTTGCTCCTTTGCAAGTATGTTTTGGTGTTCCAGCCAATCCTGCAGTTTCCATTGTAAATGTCTTGCATAAAGTTTCCTGATTGTATTAAGGGAGTGATTGGTCTGTAATTAGCGGAGTCATCCTTTTTTGCCTGGCACAGAACCTTGGGGAGTCTTACCCTGGTGGCAGCGTGATCCAGTCCATCCAGCTGGGCAGTTGCACTGGTAAGGAGCCACACAACGACCTCCATTAAGACAATGCAGGATGCAAATTGCTAAAGAACAGAAAAGGGACAAAGAACAGAATCAAAATGGAATAAAAATGCAAACCTTTGAGAAGGATCTCTTCACATAACTGAAACAGCATCAGCTTAACAATCAAGAACCACAGAAGTATGTGCATGACGTTGTGAGTCCTCTTATCAGGAGAAAGGCAGCCAATATAGTACCGACCGACCGACCGACCAATCAACCAACCAAACACACTTGTGTGTGTGTGTGTGTGTGCACATGCACACACACACACTTAGAAGTGCTACAAACAAATGTTTAAAAACATTGCAGATCAACACCTATCAAGGAAGTACAGAGGGAAGTAGGAAACAAAAATACAAAAGCAAAAAAGCCTGCAATCTGATAAGTTCATTTTCAAAATATGCCACAGTAAAGTTAATGAGCAGGATAAATTTATTTAAAGATAGATTTTCCCACATGGATTGCATCCTAGGGGTGATTCCCATTAGGCTGTAAGAACTGTGTTTCTCAGGGCATCTGTTCTGCTTTGATTCACTTGCCCTATACTGCAGTCACAGATCATACCAGCTGTAGGAGTCACACATCAATCTTTCTTTTAGCGCATGATGCCACATGTCTCATAACTGAGTGTAACTTTTTTCCCCTGTAAGTCTATTTTATGCTTCCTTTGCATATGGCCAATGATTCATCATCCTTCAGGGCTGAAGTACTTAAGTAGTTCAGCAATATATTAGTATAAGGCAAAAGTTTTCTAATTAAGAACAAAGCAATCACCATATAAAACTAAAAATTTTGGATACAGGTTTCCCAATTTTTTTATGTGTGCTGTGAATGTTTCTCATGCTTCCATGGCATATACTGTAGCTCTTTAGTTAAAAACAACAACCTCACTACACAATCAAACTAGTGTTGAAATAGTTCATCAGTGTATCAGTATACCACAAATTTGCTTAAGCTATCACCTAATGTAGTGTTAGACGCCTTACACCATAAGTAGCACTTAGTAGAGCTCAGGTCTTGGCAGGTCATCATTACAAATGCCAGGAAGTCTCAGCAGTGATACAAATAAAGAACAACTCTGCTTTGGGAGAAAAGCCTAACATTTTGTTAGCAAAACTAGCAGCAGTTAACTTGTGGATTTAGCTCCTAAAAATCAAAGTGAATAACCAAGCACCCTTTCCTCTTTGGAAAGAAATCATTTCCATTTTCTTATTTTAGGCATATTAGAAAGCTAATGCTTTTTAGAGAAATACATTGAGATAGCACAAATAATTGGAATCTTAATTTTAGTTAAATAAAATGGAGCTCCAGCAATCTGTGGCTGCGCCCCTCTTCTAAAGAACAAAGGCAAGATACCACCTCTATGATCTTGCGAAGAGGATCAAGAGTGAACTGTGAGAAGTAAATATTTAGCATCATCAAGTCTACAAATATCACTCTAGGTTGAAGGAAGGTAACCTCAGGTGAACGCAAGTAAATAACTGTCTAGAAAACCTAAGAAGACTCTTCTCTCTCTACCCGTTCCTCCCATGAAAAGACAACCATCTTCTTTAGTGTAAGCTGAGTTGCCCTCTATAATCTCCAACATATTTAACATAATTACTAAATAACTAATGTCTGTATATAGCTATAGTGTTTTGACATTCATATGTAAATAAGTGAGCACTTGATTTTTTTTAATAAGTAAGGTTTTGTGTATGTATTTGTCAGCTTTTTGTATAGAAAGGCTGTTATTGTTACATGCTATCGTATTGCTTCTGGCATATGATGACCTTAGGAATTAGCAGTTTTCACACCGTCCTGTCATTAACAGCTCTGTTCAGATCTTGCAGACCAAAGGCCATGTTTCCTTTTACTGAGTCAATCCATCTTATGTTTCACCTTCTTCTTTTCTTGTTTATTTTCTCCTGAGCATTATTGCCTTTTCCTATGAACCCTGTCTTCTCATATATCTGTAAAGTTCTCTCCTCCAACACCGTCGTCGTTGTCCGACTCTTCGTGACCCCATGGACCAGAGCACACCAGGCCCTCCTATCTTCCACTGCCTCCCGGAGTTGTGTCAAATTCATTCTGGTAGCTTCGATGACATT